ATTTACTTTAATGGGATCAACTCCCAAGACTGCCTTAGAGCAGGGTTCTACAAACTATAGCTTGTGGGCCAAATCTGAACCAATGCCTGTATATGCTTGAGCAAAGAATGATTTCTAGATTTTTGAAGGCTGGCAGTGGTGAAGGGGATGGGGGAGAATATGTGACAGAGATAGTAGATGGCCAGCAAACCCTAAAATATTTACTACCAATCCTTTACAGAAAAAGAGTGCTGATCCCTGCCTGAGAGAATAAATGTCTGTGAATGTGTGCACGTTAGAGAAAGGCAAAAGGAAGAAACAGAGAAGGGAGACCCTGGTAGAGCAGATCAAGGTGGGATACCAGTGCAGACGCCCAAGTCAGCAAATGCTCCAGAGGAGACACAGCTGCTCCTCAAGGTACTCATGTCACCTTCTCACTGGCACGCTGAGGGCTCCATCCCCCCAGTTCCCACCTGCCTCTTCAGGTCCAGATTCATGTTTCCACTGTGTCTTGGGCATCTGCATAAGGAATACCTCGGGCAGCACAGACTCAACAGGTCATAACCCTAATGCTTGGCCTTCTTTCCCAAATCTCTTCCTCTTTCCTGTCCATCCACATCTCTTCTAATGATCTCCTCTCCTACCACTTAGTACCTACAGCTATCAAAGTGTTTATTCCAAAAGTAGCCGACCAGTTTCTTTGTCAGTCCATTCAACCTACCTTTGCACTGTCACCAGAATGCGTTTCCAAAATACATATCACTGTGCATCAACTTGAATCTGCCAATGGCTTCCCCTTTTCTAACAAAGTACAAATTCCTGGTCTTAAAAAATGAAGGCCTTCAATCTGACCTTCTTTATAAGCCCTCTCTTATCCTCCAGTCCAGACTCTCAGCTCAGCCATGCTGTAGCCCTCGTACTCTTCCCCAAACCCTACTTTTTCTCATGCCTTTGGCACACTCTATTCTCTTAGAATGCCTTGTCCAGCTCTTCTTTCCCTGGTAAACATGCTTCAGGATCAGATCAAGTGACACTCCTTGGAGGACCCTCTGATTCCCAAGTCTGATCCTCTGCTTTGCCCCTTCTTGTGGTGACTACTTACCAATTGCATTAAAGTTGTGTGTTCATTAACCTCTCTCCTCTTCTAAACTAACCTGATTCTTGAATAAAAACTGGCACACACTAGGTCTGTTAACTGACTTAATTAAAAAAAGAAGAAGACATCTCCGACCATGGTTTGCTCCAGTAGACGTGAGACTCTTAACCACATGTGGCCCATGCCCCTCGTGCCCCCATCTCCTCTGCTGCACTTCAGCACTTCAGGGCTTCTAGTCATTATCCTCGTCCTCTTCCCTCCAGCACCAGGAGGACATCAGAGCTTCTCACAGCACAAGCAGGGTTGAAGAGGAATATTTACCGCAGAAAACGCTGGGGACATCGGTTTGATGGAAACAACATATTCACAGGACAAGCAGACGCCAGAAGTGCTTAGGCTGTTTTAGGATACAGTAATTCCAGGTAAAAACCTATTTCCTCATGAAAACAAATATTCATTATGCTAATCTTGGCTCAGTTAGCCTCATTCTAGTTACTGAAATCAATAAACAGACCTAGAATTCACATTTTTCTACCACTCAAAACTTTCCTAAATTAGCCCAATCTAGTGAGCTTTTAATAAGATCTCTTTTAATAAGAATGTGGATGGCCTCACAGACTAAAGAAGAAATTTCTCCTTAGTTACTTAATTGGAATTCATATTTGGACGTAGTTCAAAGTTTCTAAGAATTACATCTAATGGTGCTCCAGAAGATCACAAACAGTATTTATAGAGGAGATAGTTTCATTGTCATGAAATCTCATCAGAAATTGTTATGAAACTCTTCGGGGGGGGGGCGGGTTATTTCTGAGATAAGTTAGTGTAACTTTACAATAATGTGTTAGTTAGATCCTTAATTCCTAAATATAGAGTAAGGCCAATTAGTATTATTCAAACTAGGCAAAGAACTTAGACATATTTAACTGAGAAATTTCCACTCTATCACCCCTTGCCCAGTTTTTCTAGCTCATTTCTGGAAATGGAGCTGGAAATAAGCCCACAGCACACAGTTCCACACGGGTTGAGACATATCACAATTAAATCCTTACAAAAATAAGGCAAGAGACCAGGAGGTCAAATTGCAAAACCAAAATTCAAGAAATAAAAACAAAAAACACCATCAAAAACACTTTTAACAGAAAGATTCTCTCTAATTATACATGAGGGTACTCCAAAAATTCATAGAAAGATTTTTATTATCTTTTATTTTTTCATGAACTTTTTGAAGCACCCTGTGTGTGTGAACACTAGATTTGGATATCAATCTAGGTCAAAGTTTACCACTGAATTTTGCTGTTTTCATAATAATGTTTTCAGAACTACAGTGTAAATGAAAAAGGTCCATAAAAAATTGAAAGCAAAGTTAAGGGAAGTCAAGGTCTAAAGGAAAAAAAAAATCACAGTGAACTTGGTGATGACCCAGATGCAGAGATGCATTAATAGCCATGAGCTCTTTGAATTCTGAGTCGATAGACTTTAGTCATGAAAACAATTACAATTCTGTCTCCACCAGTACTATCACCTTCCAGGCCAGTGAAATGAAGGTAAACCCATCAACATCAATGAGAGTCTCCAAGAAAGATGCAGTTGGCCGTGATTTTCTGAGGCTATTTTTACAACTTCTGAAGTGGGACTTCAGGAAACATCCTTATTGTCAAATATCCAACATTTTACACATATATTTTTAACTCTTCCCTTTGAAACCAAAACATTAAATTGAGTTCACATGGTTTAAAGAAGAAAAAAAAAAGACACATTGCCTAAGGATGCTTTCAGAGTCCAAAGAAAGTGAAGCATTGGCAAGTATTCCAGTCTGTTCCAAGAACTGTCAATTCAGAGAACAAAGCAGATTTCTCTTTATCANTGTAAATGAAAAAGGTCCATAAAAAATTGAAAGCAAAGTTAAGGGAAGTCAAGGTCTAAAGGAAAAAAAAAATCACAGTGAACTTGGTGATGACCCAGATGCAGAGATGCATTAATAGCCATGAGCTCTTTGAATTCTGAGTCGATAGACTTTAGTCATGAAAACAATTACAATTCTGTCTCCACCAGTACTATCACCTTCCAGGCCAGTGAAATGAAGGTAAACCCATCAACATCAATGAGAGTCTCCAAGAAAGATGCAGTTGGCCGTGATTTTCTGAGGCTATTTTTACAACTTCTGAAGTGGGACTTCAGGAAACATCCTTATTGTCAAATATCCAACATTTTACACATATATTTTTAACTCTTCCCTTTGAAACCAAAACATTAAATTGAGTTCACATGGTTTAAAGAAGAAAAAAAAAGACACATTGCCTAAGGATGCTTTCAGAGTCCAAAGAAAGTGAAGCATTGGCAAGTATTCCAGTCTGTTCCAAGAACTGTCAATTCAGAGAACAAAGCAGATTTCTCTTTATCAGACACATTGCCTAAGGATGCTTTCAGAGTCCAAAGAAAGTGAAGCATTGGCAAAGTATTCCAGTCTGTTCCAAGAACTGTCAATTCAGAGAACAAAGCAGATTTCTCTTTATCATGAATTTATCTGGCTTAGATACTGGCAATATTAATTTGCAGATGACCATTTTCTAAATTTCTTTTGAGGGTGTATGGAATGCATTTAATTCTTTTTTTCGGCAGCTGGTTGGTACAGGGATCAAACACTGGACCTTGGTGTTATCAGTACCACGCTCTAACCAACTGAACTAACTAGCCATCCCTGGAACCCACTTAAATCCTCAAGGAAGCAAACAAAGATGTTTTTGTTTTTGTTTTTGTTTTCCTCTGAGTGGTTTGTTTCATATTCTTAAATGACTTTTTTAAATCACAAAAATAATAGCTTCTTATTGCAAAAATAAATAAAGACCAAATACAACAACCGAGATAACTGCTTAGCAGTTTGGCACCTCTTTTCAATCTTTTAATCCCTGCAAAACTTTTCATCTAGCTGAGATCACTCTACACACACAGTTTAGTATCTCATTTATTGAACTATATCATGAGCATGTTCTGAGTGTTATTAAGCACTTTATAACCCTAACTGTAAAGGTTACCTAATAATTCACTTAGGGATATACCATAATTTAAAAGTCTTTCTCCTTTGTTGGACATATAGAATGTTTCTAGATTTCTATTTACAAATAATACTTTAATAAACATTATTGGCCATTAAGCTTTTTCTGAACTTCAGTGATCTATTAAAGGTATGCTTAGAAGTAGAAATTCCAAAACAAAGGACACAGAAATTTCTAAGGTCTTCATAGATATTGTTTTCATGATTTCTAATTTACAGTAATATCAGCAGTGTATAAAAGTGTCTCCCTCATGATACCTTTATAATTAATGTTTATTTTCTAATCTTAATTATATTGATAAGAGAAAATTATATCTCACATATTTATTTTACTTCTTTATTACTTGTAAGATTGAAAAGGCTTTATATACTGTTTACTACCATTTGCATTTCCTTTTATTGTGAATTGTTCACTTTCCTTTACCCATTTATCTGCTGGGTCTTACTATTTTTCTAAGAGAATTACACACACTCTTTATATTAAAGATATTAATCCTTTGTCTTATTTGTTGCAAATATTTTTCAAGTTATTTCTTCTTAACTTTGAAGTCACTACATCTATAGATTTTTTTCCTTTTTTTGTTTCATTTATTGCTTCTAAATTTAGAAAGATCTTTCTCATCAAGACATTTGACACTTACAGACTCATATTTTCTAAGTCTTCTAGCAAACTGAAGAAAAGGGAAGCTTTGTTGTAGCTTGATGTAGGCTGGAGAGTAAGGAATTCCTAATAGAAAAGAATTTAAGCTGGCCTTGAAGGACAGGTAGGATTTTCACAGGAATAGAGGAGAGGATATCCTAAATAATAGAAGAAGAAAAGAAAGGGATAGATAGGCATTATAAAAGCCCACAGAGAGGCAGTGATAGCTTGGGATCAAAAAAGGAATAAGGATCCAGTGGATGAAAAATCCCAAACTCTTTTAAAGTCAAACGTATACCTGTATCGAGAAGCTCTCACTGCAGAACTCCATGTGTGTATCTTTTCACCCAGATTTTAATTTTTTTTTCACCCACCCAAGAAGTAAACATGCACTGAAAAGAAGATTTAAAAAATATCCCCCAACCACCCCCCAGAAATCTTCACTGGAATATCTGCATTAAGTTTGAGTTTTCCTGAAGATATCTCTTAAACACACATATATTTTAATTTAACCACACATACACATAAAAAAGACATGTATTCCAAAGATTTTGCACAAAGCAGAACACTCGGGTATTCATATCTTAATATCTCACCTTCTGTTGAAATCAACCTGGATGGAATGATCAATTACAAGGTCAGCAGGACAGATAGGGTTTATTTTCTCTGGATCTCCTCCTAACTTTTTCACAGCATCACGCATTGCAGCAAAGTCAACCACAGTTGGCACACCCCTAAGAAAAAAGAGAATTAAGCAGAACATGTGTAATTGTAAACACGTGTAATTGGATTTCTCAGCTTTTGCTTCCATTGATAATATTCATAAGGGACTAACTCTTCAGAGGAGCTAACCGTGGTTGACTTACAAAAGTGAAAGCTTCTAAGCGTATTTCCTTGAGCAGAAATCATATAGGTAATAAGTACCGTGACTGAGTAGTATCTCTATATACAATTTTATCACTGTATTAAATTTAATGACAACTATGGTCTAAACAGAGAAACTATGGGAAAGCTGGTACTTAAAAACTCTGAACCTTCTACTGCCATGACTGCCTCCCATTCACATGGAGGGTTGACAAAGACCTGAAGAAGACATAGAGATCACACATTAACTTCAGACCAAATTTAAAGGAATGGTTATAATTCAGAAAAGTAGGCTATGAATCAAATTTATGTTACGTGGATCCTTCCTTCTTATTATCTAAAAAGTATAAAATTTGGGTGATCTTCCTCTAGGAAAAAGAAATTGGGTCTCTAGAAGAAATAAAATAACATGATTTAAAAATGGAAAGATAGTGTCTCAAAAAAGAGGCTGTGATGAGGAGCAAGGAGTCTTAAGAAGAGCAGGATGTGAGCTGAGGCTTACACAGCATCGGTCAGGCCTTGTGAGCTACCTGTCTCCCCTCAGCAGACAGCACATCATGTTTCAAGCATAGCTGTTTGAAACCTGGTATCCTGGGCGACAGGACGAGAAGGGGAAAAGATTCCAAGACATCTCTGCTCTGGGCTATTCCTTCCGCCTTTCCCTAGGATACTCAGGACTAGGGTCTTTGAGGCATTGATCCTTGCCACTGGAAAAGGTGGGGTGACTACACATCCTGGTTTGCCTTATACAATCCCAGTTTATTCCTGCTGCCAGGAATAATAGCCCCTTTTTTCTTTCAAACATGTCTTAATATTGGGTGATAAATTATAGTCACTGCAGTGGTTTTTTTTGTTTGCTAAAAAATTTTTTTCTTGAAAGGCTGAAAGACAGGCAGAGAAGAAGAGAGTCAGGTAGCATTAGGCTCACGTAAAGTCCTGCAGGATGACACGGGCAGGCTTAAATGGCACCTCTATGTTCTCATGCTGCATGACCTTCCAATTTAGGATATTTTCAATGTCATTTTTCTTCACCAAAAATTCATCACAGTTCCGAATGGCTGCCTCCAGGAGAACTCTGATGGAAAACGGTAAGCGTCCTAGAATAAGAGAGTAAGCACAACAAAACAAATAAAGACCATGAGACACCCTATAATAAGAACCTTCTTTAAAGCCACTCTCTAGGTAAACTTGATATGAGGCATCAGACTCCTCCAGGAGAACTCTGATGGAAAACGGTAAGCGTCCTAGAATAAGAGAGTAAGCACAACAAAACAAATAAAGACCATGAGACATCCTATAATAAGAACCTTCTTTAAAGCCACTCTCTAGGTAAACTTGATATGAGGCATCAGACTATTCTACCAAAAGATATGGATCTTGAATGGGTTTAAGAGATATTCAGTAATAGGAAATACCCACAGGCTAGGCAAAAGTAAAACATTAGTTTACTCTTTCATTCTAAATGGTTGCCTTGCCTTCGATTCCAATAACAAAGTTTTCCGTAAGTCATCACATCTCACCATCAGTCCAGATTTTTACTGTATTATATGTTAGCAAATAATAT